AGGGGGGAGGGAAGGGCCATGGGGGGCGGGAAGATCAACACCCCCACAGTGAGGTAGGGATTGGGGCTGGGGCTGGGGCTGGGACAAGATGCCCAGCCCGGGTGGGGAAGGGCATGGGAGTCGAGGAGAGGAGCTCCCACCACTGCACACCGCTGCTGGTGGGCATGGGAGCAGGTGTGTGCCCCTAGATCTGCGCAGGGCAGAGTGGGCCAGGATGTGCTCCGGGAGGCTAATCCCAGCTACCTGCTGCCAGGCTGTGCTCTGCAAGGCAGGTGGAGCCAGGGCTGTGCTCCAGGCAGCTAGCCCCAGCAGCAGCCCAGAGTGTAGCCCTGGATCCACCCACCTCACAGAGCACAGTGGAGTGGGAGTTATGGGGGGGCTTCAGCCACCCTAAAATTCCCCATAGCCCCTGGCGCTGTCTCCTCCCTGATCTGGGTGCATGCGCCCACCCCTGTGCCTTGCCACTGCTCACCCAGCCAGGGCACAGAAGGGCAAAGCTGCAGCTTGTGCGGGAGGCATGGGAAGGCTGGAGCGACTTCTGCTGCTGCACACTGCTTGTCTGAAGCAGCGCAGCGGCACCATCCCATGCCTCTCTGCCCCGTCTGGGTAAGTGGTGAGAGGGCATTGCCCCTGCTCCTAGCACCTTCCCCCCGGAGCAAGCCATGCCTGCATCACACGCCCCCCCTCCCACCCCAGCTGGGCAACTAGCAACAGGGCATAGCCCACACTCCCAGTGCTGCTGCACCCACATCCTGGACTCTGCTCCGGCTGGACAAGCTGTGGCAAGGCAGAGCCCCCACTCCCAATGCCTTCTGTTGCCTGTCTGAAGCAATGGCTGGCCCAGCCCTCCCCACGCAGATCTGGGGGCACATGCCCAGCCCCATACCCTCCCGGACCGGCAGCATGCAGTGGCAGAAGCCCCCCTCTGTAAGTCCCGCGCCCTCCTGCTCCAGCTGAGCAGCTTGTCTCAGCTCCAATCCTTCCCTCGCTGTGGGGGCGTTGATCTGCACCCCCCCATGCCCATCCCCTCCCCCCTGCGCCCAGCACAACAGATTTGCCAGCTGGAGGCAGCTGTGTCCAGTATGGTGACGAGACTGCTGCCTGTTTAGTTCTCTGAATCGGCACCAAATCTTTGGATCCAATTCAGCCAAATCAAATCGGGACAGTGATTCACATCACCAAAACAAATAACTGTCCCTCTGAATTGGCCGAATCTGAATCTGAATCAAATACTTGCCACTTCACACAGGCCTAATGTACACAACCATTGAGCCTGTTGTAGACAAGATCCAGAGCTGTTCCTTGGGTGTACATTACCTGGAATCTTTGCAGCATTGTACAATGTAGCTTTGTCCCCAGCATACATACAAACACACATATACATCAACCTTTTTTCATTTGGAAATGTTGAATGGAAGTGCAGGCCCCTTTGGATTGTAAGTATGGGTATTCACATACTGCTGATTGATCCTAGTCATCTTTTATAGATGCCCTAAACACAGTCTGCAGACCCTCAGGGGTCTGTGGGCTATAGATTGAAAACTACTGCCCTAACCAATTAATTGCAATGGAAAGAGGACATATAAACACTTTGGAATTATTACGTTGTTGTTACTGAATATGTTAAGTCATTATTTCAGCACACAGCATCAAATATCTCAGCCTCTGAGACATTCTGCAAGGGCCAAAAAGAAGTTGTGCTAAATGAAAATGAATTTTAGTGTAAGTATTCTGTGCTGTAGCAGAGTAAACATATGGCTCAGTATCAGAATTTAGACATGAAAAAATCCTTATTAAGTTCACTGACTGTATCTCTGCCTGTGCAAGGAAAAGTTTAAGTTACTTTCTAAATCTCAAAATGGGACTATTTAGCCTTGGAAAACATTCAACTAGAAGAAAGAAAACTCTCATTTCAGACCAAGAGCGCTATGCCTGGGCAGCTGACTTGTAACTGCTATAAGTGATATGCTCCTATAAACTGTAGGTTTCTGTAGTAGTGTGTCTCAGAAGGTTAGGTCATTCCTTATAAGTGACATACAATAGACTGACTGTTACAACTTGGAAAGGGCACTCTGAGATTTTCCAAAACTACAGCTGAAGAAGCTAGTGAGTGGAATGTAGGAAAGCTAAGTACAAGAAGATTGGAGTTATGTGAGTTCTTAAGAAGGATAGATATTCCATGCAGTCAGGATCCAAAATTAAAGGTTGCAAAGTTAAGACACTGTTGGAGGTTTAAACCAACAAAGTTTAAATTTGGTGGGTTTTGCAATGGTGAGTTGTGTCATCAGAAGTATATGCCTTATTCAAGGTACATGAGACAAATCTATTATCAAAGGTAAATAGAGCTAAAATAGAAAAATTGTAGTAAATATTGCCCTGCATAAAAAATGAGCATTGAGTCCATTTCTGAGAACAGACAAAGCAAAACACCTTGGGATGTAATGAGGACATGAGAACTGAGGGACACTGACCCATATGAAGAATATCACATGAATCAAGTTTAAGAGACTGAAGGAATTTTAAATACCTTAGATCAATGGTTGCTGATGACAGCATCCTCCTCAGTGATCCACAACAATGCACCACAGCTGCTTGAAGCAAATGTCAATAAAATATAAAAATAAAGTGTACATGTCAGTAATTCACACCATGCTAATGTGCAGAATAGAAGATTGATCAGCTCTAAGGAAAGTTAGTATGCTCTCCACCAAGGAAATTAAGATGGTGAGGTAGTCAAGTGGTCAGATACTCCGTGACAGAAAATGAAATGAGGACGTGAAGGACTTAATTTAGCAGGCTCCAGGTAAAGAAACTGAGGAAGACTGGACTATGTTTGTATCACCATATCCTGCAAAGACTTATGGACATGTGTTCATAGGATGGTTCTCGCAATGAAAGTGCAACAAAGCAAACCAGGGTAGAAACTAAGGACCCAGTAATTAGACAGAACATCAGTGATCTTCAGAAAGGTCAATTCAGATGACTGCCCAGCATGTGATTGAAGTTATGGCAAAAGGCTATAGCAGTTACTGACGCTGAGCAAGAAAACACAAGAAAACCAGTCAGTCAGTTGTCAAAATGTTGAATGCTCTTTGTCATCAATCTGCTTTCCATGTTGTTTGCCAGGGTATTTGAAAGACATGTTTAGCATGGATTCAGATATATCTTATATATTGGTACTGGAATGACATTACAAAAAGAAAAGGAAGGCACAGATGGCTTATTCTGCCTCTTCAGTTGATGACCAGCAATTGATGCAAATGCTACATGGGCATCACTGCACTAACTTCCACAAGTAGACAAACTTTTTTTCTACACTTCCTTTCTAGATGTCTAACTTTGGGAGAAGTAAATGCAAGCAAAAGAGTTGGATTAAGAAGAGTTGCCTATAGAATCCTTTCATTCTCCTTACTAGGCCATAGAGTCACCATCACCATAATCCCAAAGTTCTTCAGGAACTCAACAGTGGTCAGAATATTTGGGATTAATGTATTTGACAAAGGCATTATCATCTCATCTTAGTTTCTGAAAGATTTTCATATGCTGTAGGGGAGAACATACCTACATATTTATAGAGCCTTGCCAGAACTGTTTTTTGTGGTTGCCAAACATATTCAGAATCAATGCAGTGTGCTGTCAGCTCTATCTCCATGTTGTCATCCCTGGTACAGGGTTTTCCCTAATTTTTTGAGAGACGACTGTACAGGACCTGTATTTGATGACAGCAGGTATTCATTCTCCAGTTATGTTGGGGTACATCCCCAACACTGTATTGTTCCTCTTTGTGATGTGTTTGAAAATAATTTGCTGTTTTAATTCTGCTCCTGATGAAATAAATTGGATTTTAGCTATTAACATCCTTGAGAAGAGGATTGGGACCAGAAGGAAATATTTCAATTCATTTTCCTTTTATTCTATGTTCTGCTTTATTGATATATATCATCTTGTCTTTTAAAATTCATTTCAGTGCAAAAATGCGATTTATTTCTGAAGTATCTGCAAAAACTCTGATGCACAGTAAACTGTAAGTAAACCAGAAAATGAGGAGCATGACATTCTCCCAGGCTGTACAACAGAACTGTGTGCAACTTGTGATGCTCTGACATTCTTTTTTTTTAGAAATAATCAAACGGGTCTTCATGCAGAAGAAGCTCTCATTATAATCAGTGCTCTGAAAGAAACCAATTTACCCAAGTTTCTTGCAGAAGATGTCCCACTGTTTGAGAATATTATGGCTGATCTCTTCCCAGAAATTGTGGTTCCAAATACAAATACTAGCAGACTAGAGGTAATGAAGTAGATAGAACTTCTTTAGGACTGTGATTGATAGTTTTAATGTCACATTTTACTTGGTAAAGAAAGAAATTTTTATAAACTTTTAATAGTTTAAAAGTTCTCAGACTTTTTTCTAAGGAAGAAACATGGCATGCAATAAATCAAAGTGATTGAGTGAATTAGTGGAGGAGAATTCCCCAATAGTTGGAGAAATAACATGCTTTTCCTTGTGATACTAACCACATCAATGTTTTTCTTTGTGATGCTAAGCATAGGCAAGCTAACTCATCTGAGTCTTTGCAATGGACCACCACACTTCTGTGAGGCATGGATGTGGCTACAGGTGCAGAAAGAGGCCACAAATAGTCCATAAGGCAACAGATGCTGTGAGACACATAGGACCAGTAGGGCCCCAGCATAGAGTCTAAGGGACAAGACTGAGCTCACTCTGCGGCACTGGAGATAGCATCCCAAACCCTAACAAATAACATCAAGGCATAGCAGGTAAGGTAGAAAGGGTATCCCATGAAGCTGGAGTGGGGACAGCAGTCAAGTGGCCACCAGGGGGCATCACAGCCACCCCTGGGACTTGAGCTTGTCACAGTGCTATGGAGTTTGTCCTTAGTGGTATAGCATTTCCAGTCTACAGGGCAGTAGTAACACCCAGAGACTGGCTAGCCTGTCCCCACTCCAGTTCTTCGAAACTAGTGCTCTGGGTCTCACCTGCCACACCCTGTTGGAACAACCAGTTGTGTGGGAGGTGTCCTGAGCATGAGATTGGGGCTTGTTTTGGGTCTCTTGGCTCCTTCCTTCTGTACTTGTCTAGACCTCAACCTTCTTGGTCAGGGCCTACTTGCCCTAGCTGCTAGGGCTGGGCAAACTTTGGTTGCTGATTCGATTCAGAGGAGGTTCGGCCTGATTCAGCAGCCAAATCTCTGAATCCAAATCAAGTCAGGAGACCAATAAAAAGGTCTGAATTGATTCGAAGCCTCCAAATCAATTTGGAAAAGATTTGGAGATTTGGGCAGTCCCCGTTCGCCACCACAGGGAGCTGGACCCGGACTCTGTGCCAGTAAGTAGGGAGTGCGGGGGCTGGGGCAGGGGAAGGGGACCATGGGGGGGACCCCCACCCCTGCCTGTTCCCCCCGCTTCCCCAACAACCCCCCACCCCCCCCCCCGCTCCCC